TTGCTACACCGGAAATAGACGACACGCCATTTCTTTAAATAAAATTAATTGGTGCTCGTTTGTATGTACATACATATGTAAATGCATGTGACTATTGTCAACTAAATCGAATGCTTTCTAAGTGAAGTGACTTGTGGACCACTTGAGGTATAGGTGGACCAGTTGGTACCCACTTTGGTAACTAGTTCGTGCGACCAGTTGGTAACCAGTCGGGGACCAGGCCGGGAATCAGTTTGGGACTAGTCCGAAACTACTTACCTTCGCACCAGTTGGGGACCAGTTGGTCTTTTTAAGCTCCTGTGGCCGTTTTAAGGGTAATTCTTGGGCTCCTGCACTGCCGCTCGGGGTTTCTGCCTTCTACGGTGGTAATTTTGGGCCGGGTTGCCTGTTTTGGCGGATTGTTGTGCTGTGTGCCGCGTATTACGTGTACCGGGTACCACTTTCTCGAGCGAATTGCGCTGGGGAACCTGTTGTGTGAGTTGCTGGCTTTTTGGCTAGACTTTGAGGAGGGTTTATACACGCATATCGGCGGTTGTTTTGGCTCGCGAGTGTGTTGGTGTAGGTACTACATCGGTGGATCCATATCTCGATACGGGGACACTGTTCTGACCGGCGGGATTGTTTTTGGGTGACCTTTCCAGGGGCTGCCTGGGGTGTGTTCTGCACCCAGCGGTTTTTAACCGCCTTGACCGCTCGTTGAGTCGCCGGCGTTATAGCGCGGGCTCTACTTTGAGTCCTACCGAAACCGGGGCTCCATTTTACAACGCTTTTATCAACTTGCATCAACTTGGATCCAGAAAATTTCAATGTTGTGTGTCCGACACCAAAGCAAAGCTTTGAAAAGTTCCTATAAAAAAGCATAGTGCATAGGGCGACAGCTGTAGTGAATAGGGCGAGGTAGATGACATCTAGATGTCGCCCTATGTACTACGTTTGCTACAGCGGAAATAGACGACACGCCATTTCTTTAAATAAAATTAATTGGTGCTCGTTTGTATGTACATACATATGTAAATGCATGTGTGTGCACCTTTCTATTAATATCGTTGAATTATTTTAATATCTATTGCAAAATTTTATTCAGACAGGACTAAAAAGTAGAAAATAAATAATATAAAAAAAACTTTTTAATATACAACGCTTTTATAAATGGACTAAAAAGTAGAAAATAATACTTCTCAGTCCCATAGAATTTGTTTTGATAACTTTTGATTTTGAAATTTTAGCAAAAGTCATTATAAACAATCTATGAAATTGAAAATGAAAA